AGAGCTTTTCTTTTGTTGTACTATGTGGTTTTTTTATCCTTTTTCTGATTTAGCTTCTCATTTATATATTTTCACTTTCACATGTCACTAAGTTTAAATGTTTAAACATTTCTCCCTTCAGTAGCCAAAAAGAAAACAAAGCAACAGCTAATATGGTAATAAATTTATTTCTAGCTACAGGAGATAAGCTTCAATGCAATATGGCCATAAAGTATGGCTCCCAGGCTTAAGGGAGAAGCAATAAACTTTTATAAATAAAAGAATTTTAAAATACTCCTGGCAGTAAAAATAAGGGTCAAATGTAGCTTGTAACTGGCAGCACACAGCCAACAACAGAGCTGCTTATGAAGGAAAACTAGAGACTAAAATGAGAAATGTTTGCAGCTTGGTTGTTGTTACTTAGCACCCCAGGTGTGCTGACTGGAGAATTGTGGGAGTTTTTGACTCACCTTCTGAAATGTTATCCCTGTTACATCTCCTGACACCTTTTGATTTGCTGAGGATCTGTGATAATCACCAAGGAAACCCGGGGGGGCACTGATGCCACAAATAAGAGAGTTCTCAACTAATTTTAAGGTGGTGGAGAACACCTTCAAAAGGAGAGGGAGTGGGGCACACAGGACTGTGTCCCACAGGCTGGTTAATGAGGAGCTTGCACAGCTCAGGGCTTTACTTGACTTTTAGTCTTGCTTTGCAGCTGATCTTTAAAGAAATTTTGAAGTCCTCCTGAGGTCCATCTCAGGTTTCTTTTGGGTTTTCAGCTCAGGAGTCACTTGGGCAAAAGCTTAAAAAATATAGTGATGAGGGGCCGGCCCGGTGGCATAGCGGTTAGGTTCACGTGTTCCACTTCAGCAGCCTAGGGTTCGCCGGTTCAGAACCCCAGGCACGGACCTACACACCACTTATCACACCATGCTGTGGCAGGCGTCCCACATAAAATGGAGGAAGGTGGGCACAGATGTTAGCTCAGTGCCAGTCTTCTTCAGCAAAAAGAGGAGGATTGGCAACAGATGTTAGCTCAGGGCTAATCTTCCTCTCACACACACAAAAAAATACAGTGGTGAGATTCCTCAAAAAAATAAAAATAGAACTACCATTTGATCCAGCAATTCCACTTCTGGGTACATAACTGAAGAAAATGAAAACACTAATTTGAAGAAAAATATGCACCCATATGTTCATTGCAGCATTATTTACAATAGCCAAGATACGGAAGCACCCTTAGTGTCCATCAAGGGCCGAGTGGATAAAGAAGATGTGGTCTATATACACAATGGAATTTTACTCAGCCATAAAAAAGAATGAAATCTTGCCATTTGCGACAACATGGATGGACCTAGAGGGTATTATGCTCAGTGAAATAAGTCTGACAGAGAAAGACAAATACCATATGATTTCACTTATATCTGGAATCTAAAAAACAAAACAAACGAACAAACAAAACAGAAACAGACTCATAGATACAGAGAACAAACTAGTTGTTGCCAGAGGGTAGTGGAGTGGAGCGATGGGCAAAACAGGTGAAGGGAATTAACAAGTACAAACTTCCAATCATAAAATAAATAAGTCACAGGGGTGTAATGTACAGCATAGGGAATATAGTCAATAACATTGTATAGTGACGGATGGTAACGACATATTGTGGTGATCATTTTGTAATGTATAAAAATATTGAATCACTACGTCGTACACCTGAAACTAATAAAATATTGTATGTCGATTATACTTCAATTAAAAAAAAAAAAGAAATTGGGGGCCAGCCTGGTGTCGTGGTGGTTAAGTTCATGCACTCCACTTCAGTGGCCCAGGGTTCACTGGTTCGGATCCCGGGCATGGACCTACCCACCACTCATCAAGCCATGCTGTGGCAGCATCCGACATACAAAATAGAGGAAGATGGGCATGGATATTAGCTCAGGGCCAATCTTCCTCAAGCAAAAAGAGGAAGATTGGCAACAGATGTTATCTCAGGGCCAATCTTCCTCACCAAAACAAAAAGAAAGAAAGAAAGAAATTGGACACACACACACAAAAATATAGTGGCATTTTGGTGAGCAGTGCTTTGGTTTAGAAGACTGTTGAAGTAATGGATTATTTGTTCTCTAGAAAACTGAGGAATAAGGAAGAGAAGACCTGCCCACCTACCTGCACATAGGTTTGTTTTCCCCAAGGAGTTTATTTGAGCAGACCTGGGGACTGGGAGGGCCCTGCATCTAAAAGGTGTTGGGCCTCTTGGTGGTGAAGCATGGCTTGTGCTGGTGACACAGGACCTGGTGGGGCAGCGGGAACTTGATCTTGGAGTCATGGAACTGCTTGATCACCGGTAGGCAGCACTTGCTGGCCAAGATCTTCTCCACCTTCGTGATCTGGACCTAGGGGCCCTGGGCTCACTGCCGGGCTCCATGTCGTGGCAGCACTGGGGGATGGCACCCGTGCTGGTCAGCTCCCAGTACTCCTGGTACATGTTGTGGGTGCTGCTGCAGGAGTCGTAGCACAGCCAGATGCCGAAGTTTCTGTCTGCCTTGCTGTCTCTCAAATCAGAAGTGATAACAGAGGGGGAAATGGAGTGCTGCCAATGGGATGAAATCAGAATTTATCAGTGCTCTCATTTCGTAAATACGTATTTCCTGAGCATCTGTAATTGCAGGCACTGTGTTTGTTGCTGGGAAACAGGTTAAACGTGGTCTCAGCCCTCAAGGAGCTAAGGGCCTTGTTAGCATAGAGTGACTCTGGGAGGGCTTTACAAGGTTTAGAGGGTGTTTAGAAGGTGGTTTAGAAGGTGATAGCTATCCACCGGAGAAAAGGGCATTCCAGAGAGAGGTAATAGAGGAGTCAAGTTTGTAAAGGAAATATGAACCAAAGTTAGTTGGGCTTAGAGTGTGGAAAGCCTTCAGTGCCATTGTAAGAAGTTTAGACTTTATCATGTAGACAGTAGGAAGCCATTGAAAAGTTTTAGAGCAAGAAGAGACATGATTCGTGTTTTAAATTTGTTTTATAAAGAGAAATCTCCGTTGGAGGTAAAGAGATGAGAGACAGATGATGAAAGCTCTAGGGAAACAGCAGAGGGAATGTTGTGGGCGTTCCATTTATAGTTTGATCTGCCTGGTACTGTCTAAAGTTGGCTTTGTTTTTGCTGGATTATTATGTAGAGAAAGACAAGCTAGCACAGAAATGTAATTCTGAGTTTGGTTTCACTACTTTATCAGCATGTGTTCGTGGGCAAGGATTGTAACCTCTGTCTTGTGTTTCTCATCTGCAGAATGGGGATAATCGTAGTGCCTCCCACATAGGGTTGTAATGAGTTTAACTGAGATGTTGTGTCTGTATGTGTAGCCCTTAGAACCATGCCTAGTGTGTAGTATGTGCTAAAATAAATTTTATTTGATTTGATTTTTTTATCCGCTCATTGATTGACTTGTTTGTTCATTTAATCTGTGTGAATTTGTTTTTAAGACGATCTAGGGCAATCTACCATAGATTGTCAGTGGTAAATTTTGCTTGCAGAATTTTACTGACATTTTTCACCTCCTTTTCTTAAGTCGTCTTGGGCCAAAAATTTCCAGCAGGAAATAGGAGGGTGAGGCCTATAAGTTAAAACAGCTACTTTCCCCCTGCCCCCCACCATGTAAAGTGTGAACAGAAAATTTTGGAAAGAATGCTGCTGTATGGTGGTCCTTGGTGTCACTGTGTGTGACAGGAAACAAGGGAAGCATTAAATGAAGTTTCAGTGTTGGGAAAATGGGGCAGTCTTACTTTACAGTACAACATGGCTCTATTATTTTGATAAACAGATTCTGAAATTCCAGAACATAGTGTGAACCACATTTGAATACAAATGCAGGAACACCTTCAAAAATCCCCAATGTAAAATTTCAATTACCTGTGCCTTTGCTTCCCTCTTTGTGAAAATAACTTTAAAATGACTGTACCACATTCTTAAATTGGAACAATAATTATATCTTTCTTGAATATAAAAAAAATTATTATATAAATATTTTATTGGTATATTTTATTATAGAAATATATTTTTGTATTTATTATGTAAATAACTGCTCAGATATAACCACTCAGAACAAAACTCTAATGGGAGGGGGATTGTTCCTTATATTTCCTTGTGCAGAGCCAGTGTTCTATTTCTTCAGAGTGTTAGGGCTCTTATAAAACAGAAAGCTGGCCCCATTAGGTTCTAGGAAGAGTCTACAGGATTTGGAGAGAAAAACTAAATATCCTGAAACTTTGCCTTTGAAGAGCTGGGAAAGCAGTTCTTGACAGAGAGACAGATACAACCCCTCTGTATAGTTGAGATGAACAAAGCTTTCCCTGACACTAAAGGATTTTATTGTGCCTGAAAGTGAACTCGTCATTGATGGAAGGGGTTCTTTTATTTGATCCATCAAGATTACCAAGCCACATGTCACCATCCCCAACTAAAATACAGCATCATGAAATCATGATTAAAGGTATAGAAGCCAATTCATGAAGTGGCAAGAGATTACAGATACTGCATTTCCTCCTCTTGGTTACTGGGAATTAAGTTTCAATAGCACTGAATACTTCGGAAAGAATACCCATAAATAATTTAAATTATTTTCTCCAACTTTTCCCCTTGATTCATGACTGTGCACTTTTGACTAGTTCTTAAATTAGGACAATGTTGTTGTTTTTTAACAAGGTAATTTACTGAAAATATTTTTTCAGGATTGTGATTGTGTGGTTAGAGTAATGAGCAAAGATTGCAGAGGAATGGGTGACTTGTAATCTCTTCCCAACCCTGGTAGGAACAGCTGTGACTTTCAGCGAGTAACTTCCTTTTTCTGATAACGTTTGTCCAATCTCCTTTCAGGGGCTTTTGTGAGAATCAAATGAGTGCAGGTACATGAAAGCCATTTGAAACATAAAAAGCACTAAAAATAACTAAATGTAGTTGCAGAACATCCTTAAAGCATCTTAGTAGGACAGTTGGGAGTAAACGTTGAGGACGTTTTTGTTTAATTTTACAGGGAACGAGGGAAACTCTCAGTCGTCACTGCACGACCCTCGGTGATACTCTTGGGAAAGAGAGTAATTGTGCTCTTATAATTGATGGGAAGACCCTCAAATATGCCTTAACTTTCGGAGTACGACAGTATTTCCTGGACTTAGCTTTGTCATGCAAAGCTGTTATTTGCTGCAGGTAAGTTCTCCTTAATAATGTCAGATTTCAGGAAAGAGCACCTTGATCCTAAGTTCTTGATTTTTAACGTTCCTTGAAGTTATTCTATCCAAAATTTGTAAATGTCAGGTTTTTATTTTTTCACTGACTCAAGATTTAAGGTTCACAAACTGGGATAAAATTTAGTAGTAGAGTTTTGAAAAGTGAATCCTAACAATCATTAATAATTATTGTTTATAATTTGAATTGAGAGGTTTCTTGCGATTTTCTGTGTTTAAAATAGATTCTTTACCTGCATTTCCATCGAGAGTTATTTCTGTAAGCGTTCTGTTTTCTACACAAATCTTTGATCCTGCTGCTAGGACTTACTTTGGGGCAGGATGAGAGGCACTAACTGAATCAATTTTCCAAAGAGCTGAGCATTTTCCTAAAGGCTGTTTATTGATTGTAGAGTCCTCTTCCTTCTAATTTATAATATTGCCTGTATTCTAAATTAAAATCTGTTTTGAGTTATCAAATCCTAATCCATAGAATTGTATTTTTGTAAACTATTTAGCTCTGATCCTTCCTGAACATCTTATTGAAGAATCTTCCCCATCTCTTTGTCTAAATTGTTTACCCTATGTCTTCCTAAAATTTAAAATATTATTCGTGACTATGCCCAGCCTCTTCACCATGAAACCTAAGGGTTTTCCTCTTTATCGTCTGCTTATTAAATCTTACCAGCTGGTCAGACTAGGTCCATGGTAGCAGTTGCTCAAATTGCTTTCTCTTCCTGGGAGATGAAATGTTAGCAGGGCTTCTGAAGAATTTCTCAGAATCTGTTCTTTTAACATTATCTTAAAATTATTCTATTTGCTTTTTTTATTATCTTTAAAATACATTTATGAATAGAAAAATGTTATGCTTTTTAAATCTTTTATGTCGAGGCTTATTCACTTAAATATCCTGTGTATAATATGTCTCCAAATTTATAAGCCATGCCTTGTAGATTATTTCCTAATTTTCAGTTGAAGTATACTTTATAAAATATAATTTAAACCATACTTAATAAGAACCCTTTATAAGCATCATTTCAGCCTATAAAATTATATCATACTCAGAGAATTAAGAGTTGCTTGTTATTCCCAGGAATCTAATTATTTTAGTCATTTATTTTTCTTCTCTGTGGCATGTATTAATAAATAATATTATTAGAAAGCTCTTGGACAATATATTTTACAGATATTTAATATTAGTAATAATTAGGCTCTTTGCTTCATCATAAAGAAAGAATTGGAAATTATTTTATCTTGACTGTCTCATTTGCACTTTGGTATCCTCATACTTTTTAAAATCTGCTTTTCCAGTGACTTGTCTTGATTCCTTGCTAATCTCTTGACCAAGTCTCAGTAATGTGCAACTCTGACACTCTTCATCAGGGTAATTTTGTGCCAGATTTGGTTGTTTAATCACTTTCACTAATGGGATCACAAGGATCAACAGAAGATTGCTCAAAAGCACATAAAGTGATATGACTGTTGGATTCTATTTGGAAACAAAGCAGAATACAGAGCTATTTAGGTAAAATGACCAGTTCCCTTGAGTCGGCATCTGATCCGTGCCTACTGTGTGCTGGACATAGATGCTGCACATACGAGGAAGAATAAGACTTCCTCCCTGCTTTCCTTCGTGTATCTATCTTTCTTTTAAGTACAGTCACAGTTGGTTTGAAAGACGTGGGAGGCCAGTTTTCATCATGTGGTCATTGCAGCTGAGCCTCATTCTTAGAGCATTGCTTAACACAGTACCTCCCACCATTCTTCAAAACGTTGAACCACAAAATTAAACAATAGCAGAGGGAGAGAAAAACTAGAAAGCAGAGTCAAGGGAGAAAAAATATGTTCTGTGCTTGTGTAATTCCCTCCCGAGATGCTTGTTCTGGATGCTCACAAGTCACATGGACCTCAGGGCTCCTCCAAGCCCCAGGCCCCTGGGAGGGAATCACACTCTGCCATGCACGTGCAGCTCAGCTCTGAAACTGAACTTATAAAGATGTGTGTGGCCGCTTCCTCCCTCCATCCTATTTTATGCATGTTTGAGGACCATGAAGGTCCCTATGCAGACACTGAGTTTTAGGGTTGGTTTTTTTTTGTTTTTTTTTTTTAAGTAAAATATCTTTCCTCAGCTTTTTTCTTCTAATTACCTTCATACTCTCTCTTTTCCCGTAAGGACTGTGGTTCAACTTCCGGTCTGGCTTTGAGAATTCATCTAAGCCCATAATTACATCAGTGCCACTGCTTGATTGATGTCTGTGCACCTTCTTGGACTGGTGCCTCTTGGCATTTAAACTATTGGCACAGACCGTCTTCATGTCATTTAGCTTACTGACCTCGCAGCGTAATTTCTATGATAATGCTTCCATCTCTGGTGAGGAATAGGTGGACAATTCTGTCTATCGTTCTTTACAATTAAATGCAAGTGTCACTCCAGATTTCTCAGATGATTACAATTTCCCAACCTCAGGAAATTCTCTATTTTACTCTATTATAAGAGACGCTCCAAATAAATATTGAATATTATTTCAAAACACAGTACGGTACTGTTTCCCAAATTCATTTATGTTCATTCTGGCTTGATGGATTTTCCCCTCAAACTACTTTCCAGTCTATGTCTTGTCAGTCCGCACATGAAGGTAATTCAGAATCGGTGCTTCCTCTGCAGGCTTCTCTTGAGCCATAGCTGGAGTGGAAGTAGAAGGGAGAGCCTTCCCATAATGGATAATGAAGCGCTCGATTTAGCTCCATCTTTGGGATTACATCGGCCCCTTTCTTCCCTGACATTATCAGCATAAAGGGCAGAAGGCCGTTTTTAGTGTTTGCCTAATTGACACAGTTATAAAGATGAGCGTTTTCCCTGAAGAGTCTACAGTGGAATTTAAAGAAACAGTTGTTCTCAGTCAGTAGTCGTTACATCTCTTATTCACCACCATTTTCTGAAGAGAATATTCAGAGACAGAAGTAATCCCCTCGTCCCCAAATTATTCAGGGCTTTGGACTCCTGGTTTTGGTTTATAAAGTGAAGGTTGCATGTTATACCTCAGATAATTTTTTTAAGTATGTAAAACCCAAGAAGTAAAATGAAATCTGTTTTTATCAGTGTACCAAGTACTGTATTTTCATGGGTACCATGTAACTTTTGTTTTTACCTCTGTGCACATTTACCTGTGTAACCTGAGTGGTTTAATAGGAAATATGCCTCTGGTTTTAGGGTAGTTTCTGGTAAGTTTTTCTAGTTATGAACATAAACTACTTCTTTGTGGTCCTTCTTCCCTCTATTCCCTTGCTCGAGTACACCGATTCTTATCATTTGGTGTGATCGCAGATAATTTTGAAGAACAAATGAAACCTATAGGCCATCTCCTCCAAAAAAAAATACACATACACACAAACATGTAAAATTGAATGCACCATTTTAGGGGTTACAGACTCCCTGAAACTCTTTGGAAAGGTAGAGGGAGGAAAAGCTTCCTCTGAGACTCATGGAGATTTGTGTACACATCAAGGGCTATTCTGCAAAGTAACTGTGCCAGACAAATAATGCCTCATGTCGGTTACCAATATTTTATGTCCTAAGATCTAACCGCTTGTGTAATTGTTATAATGGCATTTTAGCTGGGGTTTCATGAAATTCTTGTTTTGACTCTACCTTTCTGGCACTTTGGATACCTAATGGAATCTCTCTGGCCTTGGTTTTCTAACCTGTGAAATGAAGAGACTGGCATATAGCAATGATTCAGATCCTCCAGGGAGCCTGGATATCTAAAGCAGCTAAGAGTGGAGCTTCTGTGTCATAGAAAGGTGGGAAACCCACACACACACATGCACCCTTCCTGAGTTATCTCCTTCCAGCTTGAAACCTTCTGGGCCAGAGGACTTATAGCATTTTCATTTTTTGGACGAACCAAAAAATGTGGCTACTTCTGTTGGCCACTCTGTGCTGGGAAGAGTCTGTCTACTGCCTGGATCAGCTTAATTTGGGGAAGCATCTGTTCTGCCTCTTAATGTTCCCTCCAGAAGAGTTGCAGTGAAGTATTGCTGTGTGTTCCATAGCGTGTGGTTTCTGAGATCCCGGTCAGTTCACATAACCCAGCCTTTCAAAGAATTTTACATTTTTTCTATAGTTGTCAGTTTAGTTTAAACATATTTTGAAACTTATGTTCTGTGACAGTTGGTTGAAAATTGGCCCAGAGCCTCCAGCTTTTAGACTGTCTGGTAATCACTGTTCTTCTACATAATTTATGTACTCATGTCTTCTGAAAAGCAGAAGTTAAATTGAAGTAAGCATTTTTCCCTACTTGCAACATCTCTAGTCAAAGTTTAACCCCCTTTTAGGCCATTTTCCCCATAGTGCATAAAAAAACACTTGACTTCAGTGAGTGTCGTCACTCGGGAGTGGCATTCCAGGCAAAACCTTTCACCTTAGTCCACTCAAGGGGTCCTCCAAGAAGAGGTCTAAAGGGACACCTTGAATACTTTCTGTCATAGCATGAGTATGTTAAAGAAAGGGTCAAGGCAGATCTACTTATTGAATCTTTTGGGATTGTTTTAAACTTTAAACTTTAAGGATTTCTCTAAATACATGTCCTACTTAAAGAGTAGTTATAAAGCACAAGTGAAGCTAATAAATGCTCAACAGACATTCCTTTAAAGCAAAAAGTTTGTGAACACCGTTGGATGCCAAGCAGATGTTTGGCTTTCAGAAGACTTACAAACTGTTAATGAATGTCAACCGTATGTTTGCTTCCAAGAAAATATGAATAAATGTTGGAAATGTCGAGAGAATATTTCATACATGTATGGCTAAAAGAGGACACACTGCATGAATTTTATTAACTTCATAAAATGCCCATATTTTGCTTTAACATAATATAATAATAAGCTGCTCAACTCTGTCCATCTCATTTGCTATTCTACCTCTACTGAGCACTGCTAAAGGAACTGCATGGCCGTGTTACAGCCTGGTAGCCAGTTATGATGTAC